GTTGAAGTGGTCACCAATTCCAACATTATTGACATTGTAAGAATGTTTTACTCAATGTTTTACTTTAAATGGTGTTTTGTAATGGTTTGAGAATAATGACTCTTTTCTTTTAGGGCCTTGTTGTTTAAAACACTTGAAAACTCAACTTGTTTCCTATCTGTATGTTATAGAATGGCAAAGACCCAGACAGTTGGAGCTTGTTTAATGGGAAAGAATCCTTATTTAAAAGAGTTATCAATGAAATTCTTATTGCCATTTTAATTCTGTTGTATAAAAGGAGAATACAAATATGTTACTAATGTTGCTCCCAACACCAAATAACACCAATGTTAACATCTCATCATTATATTTAAAACACAAATTATACAACAGAACAACATTAATTCTTAGACCAATGGAACTAGTCTTGTGGTCAAATGGTAAGATTTTAACCATCTAACTGGATTACCCAGAGATCTTGTGTTTGAGTCTTATAAAGTGATCACCTACTATATTTGTGACTTATCAAGCCCAAAGAAAATTCTAGAAAGAAAGTGAATGTATAATGTAAGAACATTAGAATTGGAAAAAACAGAAAAATTGGTTCAAGAGTCATGGTGAGGTCTTCTTACTTTGGATTATAGTGTTAATTTTCAACATTCACACTTGAAAATAGTTATATATATATATATATATATATATATATATTTTCGAGTAAACGACTTTTTCCCACCCAAAGTTTGGCCTAATGACCTTTCCCACGCAAAAAGTTTCAAAATACAATTTTGCCACCCAATGTTATATTCCATTAGTAATTTGTGTTAAATACAATACATATTGGTCGTAAAGTCAAAAATATCCTTTCTTCTTCCTCTCTTTTCTTCCCTACTCCTTAGCACCAAAATCTGCCACCCTTGTCCCTCTACCTGCCAGCTCGCTCCCACCAGCAGCCTCACCACCTACACTTGCCGCCGACTTCACTCCCAGTTGCAAACCTTTCCATTGCCGCCGATTTCGCAAGATTGACTAGAGTTTTGTGGGGTTGATTGATGGATGGATTGTTTTTTATGGATTGTTGTGTTTTGATTGATTTTTGGAGTGTGATTTGTTATTGAGTTGATGTTTGAATTGAGAAGGCCTGATAGCCACCTGTCGTTGCCGACCACCACCCGCACCTCTCCCACCATCTCCTGCCCCCCACCTGTTTAATTATGATCACTTTGCAAATGTGCCTCCCACTACCCTGGTGAAGATCACACACTCAATCTTCAATGTCAATGAGCGGGTAAATGGGAACAAGGCTCACTAAAAGATTCTGGTTAGTAAGATTGCCTCTTTCCAGCAGTTCATAAAGCATAATTTTGATGCAAGTGATCATGGGACATCAAGCTTATCAGTTACTGTGGTGCATTGCATAGGGATATTAGATGTTAGAATTTTAAACACCGATAGACATACGGGAAACCTTTTAGTGAGAAAGCTTGATGGTGTTGGGAACTTTGGTCAGGTGGAGCTCATTCCAATTGACCATGGCTTGAGCTTGCCAGAAACTTTGGAGGATCCCTATTTTGAGTGGATCCATTGGCCTCAGGCTTCGATTCCATTTTCAGATGATGAACTTTGATTACATCAGAAAACTTGATCCTGTTCGTGACTTTGAAATGCTGCGAAGGGAGCTCCCTATGATCCGAGAGGCTTGTCTGCAGGTGTTGGTTCTCTGCACAATTTTCCTGAAGGAAGCTACTAAATTTCGTCTTTGTCTTGTTGAACTTGGTGAGATGATGAGTAGGGAATTTCGTGCTGGGGAAGAGGAACCCAGTGAACTGGAGATTATTTGTATTGAAGCAAGGTGATTGAGAGAGAAGTGTTTTCACCCCAGGCAGATATGGGAGATGATGAGTTCCAATTTGATATAGATTGCGAGAAAACAGAGTTTGACTTTGAGGTAAAGATTCAGTTTCAGTCTCTTTTCTCTATCGGCAATGGCGAAGGAGAGAGGAGAATAGAGGTGGCAAAGGAGAGAAGAAAAGAGAAGAGACTATTCTGCCCTTACTTAAATGGGACTTTTGACCAACTTACCCTTTTTCATAACAAAAATTACTAACAAATCTATATTGTGGATGGTAAAATTGTATTTTAAAACTTTTTAGGTGGGAAAGTGTCATTAGGCCAAACCTTGGGTGGGAAAAGGTCGTTTACTCTTTTTTTTTCTCCTTCACATTTCATCAACCATTATTTAACGATGCGCTCTATTTATCAATTAATGCTCTTCTAATTCACTTTAACACGCGTATTATAGATTATTCTAATTTTTTTACAGATATCAGCTCCGTTCCCAATAAAGTTAAACAAAAAATTTTTTTTTGGTTCACCTAATTCTCAAAATATTATTCTAAATTATTGAATTTATTTTAAACCCCCTAAATTTATTAATTTAACTAAATAACCCCAAAAAAAATTTAAAAACTTGACAAAAACACCTCAATAACCCACATTTACTAGATTCCGGCCACCACCACTGGAATCTAGTGTAATGACGTACTACCGGCTGAATCTGGCCAGTAGTGCGCCGATCTAGCCTTTTCTGGCCAGAGGCTAGATCTACGGCCAAAGATCTGGCCGTCAATGGCCGGATCTTTGGCCGTAGACAGTCGTCAATGACGGCCAAGATATGGTCGTCGTTGACGACCAAATGCGGCCAGATCTGGCCATCAATGGCCAAATCTAGTCGTAGATCTAGCCTTTTCCAACTAGATCCACCGTGGATCTGGTCGGAAAAAGCATATCGGCTCATGACTAGCAAGATCCAGCCGATACGGCGACCTTGGCCACCCTCCGGCGGTGATGGCTGGCTGTCCGTATTTAATGAGTGGGTTGGGAGTGTTTTTGTTAACTTTGAATATTTTATTATAAGGGTGTTTAGTAAATAAAAAAACATAGGGGGTATTTTTGTTAATTTTTAAATTCTACATCGTAATACCCACCCAATTTAACTTTTTTCAAAATATTATTCTAAAAACTATCATAATAATGAACCAAACAGATCCATCTTCTTTTGTTATTTTCTTGTTATCTTTAACTTCCAAGACCATATTTATTATTTGAATAATATATATCTATCTATATATTTATATAATGCTGAAGCATACTGCTTCTTCTGACGCCAGGTAGGATTGATATATGATTGTCATGTAGGATGTCGTTAATTAGTCTACGTGTTTGCTGTTTATTGGGTTTGCTATAATATGGATTATTCACATGCATTCAATTAATGTATTCAATACAAATCTTTCACATTCCTCTTTTAATTTGAGATCTTTCACATTCCTCTTTTAATTTGATAAATTATTAATGATTCGCTTGTGTGTTATTGATTTCCATGAATATTAAGAGATTGCTATAATAGAAATTATTCACATGCATTCAATTAATGTATTCAATACAAATCTTTCACATTCCTCTTTTAATATGAGATCTTTCACATTCCTCTTTTAATTTGATAAAGATACAACATATCTTTTCACATTCATGAAATTCAATAATACACTTTATTAATCCATTAATATTCAACGTTCATTCATGCATATTAATTATTATTATTAATTAATATTAATATTTTTGTACCCCTTCACATTCAATTAATTATTATTAATATTAATATATCTTTACCCCTTCACATTCAATTAAATGTTTTTTATAAAACGTATTATCATTTAACATTTAATATAAATCTGAAAATTTTAAACTCATCCAATAACAATAAAACATTTAAATCAAAATAACCATAACCAATAACATGCAAATACTTACTAAAAAATATCAAAAGTCATATTAATTAGCAATAATCCAATTACATTGAACATAACACGAACAGTTGTTGTAATCATTAATTATCATATAATATTACTTAATGACATCTAAAGCTATATAAGAGTAGAGAATTCAACAATCCATACACCTTCAAATATTTCTTTCATTTCACACAGATACCATTAACAAATGGAAGACAAAAGACCAACTATTGTCAATCCAAAATCCAAACAAACAGAAGCGTGCGGTAAATAACATCAACTGATTACTCTTATATTCCTTCTACATATCTACTTTTACATGTCCAGTTTTTTATTTTTAGTAGGTCAAGCAGCAACGTCAGATGGTTCGCCTGAACTGGAAGGTATTCTACAAAACCTTAAAGTCACGCTGGACAAACTCAACACTGCCAGAGTGATGAACAGAGATATAATGAATGCTTTGTTAGAAATAATAGGCTCAACCATACATGTAATATTCGATTTACGGAAACGTGAATCCCTGATTATTGCCAAAGAAAAGGAACTTGGTATTCCTCAAGGAAAAAAATAGAACTATATATATAAACAGTTCTATTATCAATAAAATCAATAAAAGATTCACAGTTTATTGTTCCCACTGAATGATGATACCAGAAGCTAATATAAATACTGTTTATTCTACAGTTAACGCATAATTCTACATTACTATTTTACACCTTTTAATCCATTTCTTAAAGATTCCATTTCATTGTATAACTTAATGGGTTGGATTTAAATTTTAAAAGTTTTTTAATTAAGTAGTGAATAAGTTTCTCAACAATTGAACTTAAACTTATTCTATATGTGTTGAATGATTCATTTCTTTGTATAATTCAATGACTTAGATTTAAATATTGATTTTTTTATATGTTCCTTAAAATGACATGAGAACTAAACGTCTACAGTTGTTTTTGTTCTCAGAATGATCCAAAATTGTCTTTTTGCAGATTGGCTATATGGCGATATGTGGGATTGGTTCTAGTCCGGGTTTGGAGGGTGTTGAGAGATGGAGTTTAAGTGGGAATTTGTCAACAAGGCTGATTAGTAGGCAGTTTGTGGGAAGTCAAAGTCATGTGTGATGTTTCAGAGGAGAAGTTTTGGAGTTCAGTGTTCATCTTCGAGGAAGGTTGTTTCTCGAGTTGAATCTAAGGTTGTTTCTGTGGAGGAAGAAGAGTCAAGGCATGTTATGAGGTTCAAGATGTCTGATTTCAAGATTCTTGATCGTGTTAGCCTTGGCCTTGCTAGGCGGGTATGTTTGTGTGAAGAATTCAAATGTTTATTGGAAATTTGATGGCGGTGTTTGATTGTTTTTGTGATTTAATTGAATTGGGATTTCCTGTAGGTTGATGAGGTTGTTTTTGAAGCCATTGTGAATGATTCTAACAGGTTTCATTTCTTTTTTGTTTCCTTCTCATTATTTTCTTATGATATGTTAGACTAAGGCGTGAACTTATGATGTTTGTATTGTGAGATTGCAGCCCTTTGTATAACACAAGAGTTGTGCTAGAAAACTAGATGAAACGTAAGATCAATTGAGGAGTGAGTAACTTCTATTGCTACTGGTAGTGCTTTTGGGAACCAGCATGGTTATTGGTGATGGCATTCTAACTCCGTCAATGTCTGGTATTATTTCTTTCATACATTACATATATTTTCCATGTGAAGTTATAGATTGATTATGGTACACAGCATAATGGTATGGTTTTGTCCATAGATCTCCATCAAATTGGATATGATATGTTTTAGCTACTGCACAATGTATTAGCTTCCAAGAATTGCACAACTTTCTCTTACTTTGTCACATTTAATGCATATACAGTATGTGTTTATGTGTGTGCATGTGCATGTGTGTGTGATGGGATAAATGAGTAACATCCTTTTAATTGTTTTTTTTTTTTTTTTTAATCATAAATGAAATTGATTAGTTCTCAAACCCAGCAGCTAACATGATGGAAAGCAGAGACCATATTCGAAAGGTAATCTTTTCTTTTATAGAGTAAAAATTTGATGATTTATGTGCCAACTTAGTGTAATCTTAAAAGCACTTACTCTTTAAGTTTTCTTAATGTCTAAATGCAGTTGAATTTTTTTTTTTTTTGGTGCTTTTATGCAACCAGACTAAATTTAGTAACCCATTATTTTCTTTGAGTATAAACTCAAACTTCTTGCAGAAAGAGTTTTTCAAATAGAAATTTTAAGTTTTTAGTAAACTTTTGCGTAGAACTTAAGTTTGGATTAAAACATATGCGGATGTTTGACAAATTCTTGGATATTCATATTCATATTCATATTTGGCTAATTTGACTAACCTCTTGACTTGAGGACGAACTAAGCTCCAGCATCAAGCTCTTTGGAGAATCAATGATGCATGTTTCATTATCAATTTTTGATATATTCATGGAGCTTGGAACTACAGTTCCCATCTTTCTCTCTATGCTTGACTAAGAATTGTTCCACCTACAACAACAACCTATACACCACCTATTGAGCAACCGGAAGTGGTCATTCCAAGTGTAGCCAGCCATTGCCCCACTCACAGGTGCTTACTTTAAAACATTGTTTGTTTATGAAATTTCATATTATTACTTATTTATTTTTGAACGTAAACTGATTCAGTTTTGATTCCTTTATTATGCAGTCAACCTTTGACAGTGATGGTCACAGTGAGCATTGATAGGGGTGACATTCGGAATAATTTAATAAACACTTCATTTTTGGCGTAGACACAGTATGAACGATTTAAAACAAAAAAATATTGTCCATTTATTTTTGTTTTTCTATATCTTATAAACAGTGTTATATTGCAAAGTGTTTATCAATTAAGCATATTTTTTTATCAAAAAGTTGCAAACTTACATTCTTAGATAGGTTATACATGTTTTTGTTGTGGACTCTGTAGCCAGTAATAGTTTGTGTTTTGTGGCAAGTAGAGTTTGTGTTGGATGATGAAGGATGATAAGTTTTATTTTATTTTATTTTTGCTCATTTCATGGTGTTGGGCAGCCTTTTAAAATGGTGAAAGATTAATTGTTGGACCTCAAAGCAATGGTTATATTCCATGCAGGAACTACTAATTTTAAGAAGGGAAAAATTGTCATTTCAATTATATTATTATGTACCAAATTGTTGTAAGAAAAGTGTTGCAACTCTTCTTTTGCTTTGAAAAGGGAATCTATTCTTATCACTAAACTGTTCCAGTATTATTTCGTTCTTCAATTAATTAATTTATTTGTGTCAAAACCACTTTCATAAGTTGCGGACTTTCAACTTCTATGTATTGAATTCAATTAATTCAATTCCTGTTGAATACAAGCTGACCATTTCAATATTCCATCACTAGCATTTTATCAAATTAAAAGAGGAATCTGAAAGATCTGTACTGTATACATTAATTGAATGCATGTGAATCATCCCTATTTTATCAACACCAATAAGCAGCAAATACGGGGACCAATTAACGACATCTTAAATGGCAATCATATAACGATTCTCAACAATCTTTAAACATAAAAACCTGATTAAAAAAAAAAAAAAAAACAATAACAAAATGTTCTATTATAATCAATATTTGGCATATTTTTTTATGAAATAATAATCATTTATAATTTTTTAAAATATAAAAATTTTATAATAAAATAAAAATAATATAATAAATAAACCCGCATAACGCGTGAACGTAACATCTAGGTTATATTATTTCCCAACTTTTTAACTGAAATTATAATTATAAATATTTATAGAAGTAATATTCAGTCAACGTGGTTTTAAATTTTATAACCTCACTCAACAGTACCGCTTTTGTGTACACAGGAAGCTTAGCGTGTAGTCAAAGCGTAAGTCTTCCCCATCACTACTTGACTTCACTCTCTCAAAATTTAGCTGCCCGGTCCCCCCAAGTATGTATTTAAGAAAATGGCCTTGAAACTGTTCATCAAATTTTTTATAATTTAGAGAAGATGACGTGGCATAGTTAGGATTACTAACCCGTAATGGGTTAAAATGAAAGATTAAAACATATGTGGCCGAATCAGAAATAATGAAAGTTTTCAAAATTTGAAATTCCGCAAAACAAGCCCCACTAACTATTCACGTCGCTTAATCGAAATTCATCATTGAAAACGCGATTTCTTGAACGAAAGGGAGACGCGATTTTTTCGATCGAACACCAATTGATTTGCACCCTAAATCAATTTCTTGAACCCTAAACCGAATACAGTCGCGATTTTCAGCGATATAGTCGCGATTTTCGATCGTTTGTTAACCCTAAAATCGATTTCCTTACCGTAAACGAAAACTGGCCATTTCCGGCGATACAGTCCAGATTTCCGATCGAAACTGCAAACGTTGACACCAAATTCAATCCAAACCATGAGTGACACTGACAATGAGGAGGGAAGCCCACGCCACTTCGAATCCTAGATTCCGGTGGCCAAGCAGTTCAATGGCTCACCGGTGGATCATCTGACCATTGAAGGTGGTCCACATGTAGAGGAGACGCCGGCGGCACAAGAACAGAGGGAAGAACCAACAAAGGGGTCTGAAGACGAGGAGTCAGGCGAGAATTCAGGCCAGAAGGAGGATTCGGAGAGAATTCAGGCCAGAGGTGGATTCCGGCGAGAATTCAGGCCAGGAGAGTCGCCGGAGGATCCGGCGACGAGGAGAAGGCCGCGAAATAGGTACGTAGTTTGGGAATGTTGCTTGTAATTTCGCTTAAGCGATCATTTGTATCACTTAGCGATTATTCGGTTTACTCGTGATCGCAGCATGATCGCTTAAGCGTAAAAATGATCGCTTAAGCGATCTAGATCTGGGCAGATGTTCTGCCAGACCAAAGATCGCTTAAAGATCATGAGTGTTTACTTTTGGTCGCTTAAGCGATCTTAGGTCTGGGCAGAATCACAGATTAAAGATTCTCAGTTAACTTCTGGTCGCTTAAGCGATTTAAAATCGCTTAAGCGATCTTGCATGAGACAGTAAAGATCTCTTAAGCGATCCGAGATCGCTTAAGCGACTACAGTGTTTTGGTTTATTTTGTTGATGACATTTTATTTATATCGATTGTGCATTGTTGCGGACCGTAACTGTAGAGAGTACGAGTTGAAGCCTATAATGGAAGGTACCCTACTTCCTTGCAAGGGTGACGGTGAGGTCGAGCTGGGAGGTTTTTGACAAATAAGGGCCATTTTAGCTAGAATGAGGCACGGTGAAAGAGATTTTGGTGACACTTGTTTCGGTCAGTTTTTAAGAATCGGAAAAAAGTGGAAAAAGTCATTTTGGGGGCAGGGAGTGCATTACATGTGTATGCACTCAGTAAATGCAACAAAAAAATGAAATGTGGTTCTGGTGGAGGGAAAGCCACTACGGTTTGGTATGATGGGAGTGCGTTGGTGACGGGCTTAGGATGCGGGAAAGTGCCACTAAGGCGGAGGCAGACGCAGTAAGGACGAGTGCAGAGCCATAAACTTTTGTAAAAGGTTTTGAAAGGGGCAAAGTCTATTACAGGAAAAGTTTTAGAGAAGGGCTATATCAGTTCGGTTTAGTGATGCAGAGAAGATAAAAGTGTGCTTGATATTGTTTTTACTTCTATCTTATTGGCTGTGACTCAACAAAAGCGTGTAGAAAGATTGGTTGCTGTTTGTAAGCGACTTGGAGTTCTTTAATTCTTATCCTGGGGACAGATATCATTTGAGCGAACCATCAAGAGCCTGAAAAAACCAGACATGGCGTTAAAGCATGTCATGGGGCGGGAGCTAAACCAAGCACGTATAATTTGTTTGGCTTCCCATGGGCAATGCAGGTAAATTAATAGCTCTATGTTATATTTTTATAATATGTGTGTTTGAATAATGACATGGACTGTTTTTTTTACAATGTAGGCTTGGATGTACGAGGCCATCCCTGTCTTCACTAAGGCGGGGGGAGGAGGCAAAAATGTGAATGTGCAACGCAATTTCCTAGGATGTTGCGGTGGCATGTCGAGAGCTGTAACCATGGGATTATGGCAATTAGAGATTGAGATTCAGCAGCTGGGGTAAGATTGAAGGATTAAGCTTTTAATATGCGTTGCTCTTTTATTTGCTTCAATCTGATTGATTTTTATTTCTTATTGCAGGGAGTCGTCCATCCCTTTTTGACCTATTGGGGATGAAGCGGAAGAGGACTATGTCACATCTTTCAGAGTATGGAGGATGAAAGGGATGCACGATAGACCGCCTGATGCGGGACTAAAAGGGGTCACGCATGTGTGGCAGTTGCAGGGCCATTGCTTGACAATGTCATTGATGCGGAGGATATGAAGCTCGGGGGGCCGAGGATGAGGAGGAGAAGAGGGAGGAAGAGGTTCGTATGCCTCAGCAAACCGGTACAACAAGTACGCTTTGCCGAGACATCGACGTAGGGAGAATGAGGTTGTTAACCTCATAAACGGCCTGTTTGAGATTTTACAACAGCCGTTATGCAAAGCTGGAGAAGTGGAAGAAACAATGAAAAGGGTGGAGGAAGAAAGTGGATAAGCTGGAGAGAAATAGGTACAATGGAGGGCGAAGTGGTACAATGGAGGAGGAAGTTGGTGGAGAATTAAAGGC